TTATGAGAATTAAAATCTTACTTCTAACTATTATCACTCATTTTATTTATCACGTCCAATTTGTCGTTGGGTAAAGCTAAAACTATCTAATTTGCATATTTCATGGTTGGCCGACATATTTGACAGCTAGCTACTATAACTATACAATTTCAAAACTACGACCATTCATTAACACCTTCAATTGTTTCATGTGCTTCGTGAATACACGTCTAGATGTAGGATTCTGCTTTCTTCTACCAATAATTAAACTTGAAATGTATTTCTCATTCGAACAGACTTAGAGAAAAACAACAAATACTTTACGGTTAGAAATATTTAAATGTTTAAAGAATTTAAATTATTCTTTTGCTTTCACTGACTTGTTATCTGATACAATGACGATTGAGTTAAAATCATACAGAACGTTAAATAGGCTTCAAACAAAAATATGAGTAAAGTTTACAACAATCTAAAGGTTAACGTCATTAGTTACAGAAATTATTGAGACAATAAGTACTAGCCTTGCTTCACTGACATATCACAGCTTTTCCAATATCATATGAAATACTGGACACAATTTCTTGTAATTTAATTGTTCTTATAGTTACTACTGTAGGATAGATGTGTATTTGAATCAATTTTCAAGTAGCACATGTGTCTACATTATTTTGGAAGTGAATGTAACTTCATTCGCCAAAAGGACTACCCTGTCAATTTCTTAGTATTTTGCGACAGATTAGACTACCACTTAACAGGTTTCTGTTTTCTACATCTAACGCCAGTTAATCAATACAAATGCATCCTGAAATGGAATGATATACTTGGATAGTGTTATTAGAAGACGGAGATTACCTGAAAAATGTGATGTATTTGCGCTATACATTTCGAACAATCTGATCACACATTTACTTGTCAAGTCGATATAGATGAAAAAATGAAGAGCAATTAAATTAAACAAAGTGACAAAAGAAAAGATTTAAGAATGATTAACACAACGTTTGGTTATCCAATCAAATAAGGATTACCAAGGTAGGTTAAGAGTAATAATAAATTGTTTTTGAATACACAGGGGGGTGGGCTTAAGTTTATGCATAGCTATAGGCTCACTGTATTTCAATTAGCTCCCTTGACCATTTTTATAGATGACTTTAAAGGCTGAGTTAACATCAATCTAATGGTTTATCACAATTAGGTGTTTAGCTATAGACGAAGCTGGTAGTTTGTGACTGCGTCTATTGGTTTTCCACAATTCATTTGTTTTTCTAACCATTTCGGGATATGCTATTCCACCCTCACATGCGCTTATTGAAATACGCTGAGGCTATAGCTATTCATAAACTTAAGCCCGCCCCCCTGTGTTTTCAAAAACAATTTATTATTACTCTTAACCTACTTTGGTAATCCTTATTTGATTGGATTACCAAACGTTGTGTTAATCATTCTTAAATCCTTTTCTTTTGTCACTTTGTTTAATTTAATTACCCTTCACTTTTTCGTATATATCGACTTGACAAGTAAATGTGTGATCAAATTGTTCGAAATGTATAGCGCAAATACATCACATTTTTCCGATAATCTCCATCTTCTAATAACACTATCCAAATTTATAAAGGGGACTAATTGTTTTAGAATGATACACTACAACACACCGATTATATAGGTAACAAAAACAAGTACTTTTGCTTCATTTTACTCAAAACAAATTGCATGTAATCTATATTGCATCATGCGTGAAATTCTATTGTCGAAATCTGGAATGTGACCTGTTATTTATGGACTTTTTGGTTATCCTACTTATACTGAATGTGTGTATGTGTTATGTGATTGACAAAAGCTTTTGTCTTTATAGGACAAAATTTCCTAGTTTATAAAATTTATTATTTAAGTAAAGTATTATATAAATGATTAAGGTTCCTTGCACATGTTTACTGTCACTAATAGACATCTTCTTTTTAATACTGGCAGGTAAACTTAGACAAAACAGTCAGAAATCTCAATGGTGGCTTAGACGCATTCATTAGTGAAGGTGGTTCCAACTTCAGTACAGGACAACGACAACTACTAGCATTAGCACGTGCAATTTTAAGTGGGAACCGTATACTGGTAATAGATGAGGCAACATCCAATATCGATCCTGGGTAAGTTTGTACATAAATTTAAGCTATAATGTCAAACTTACAACTATATTATTCAGTTACTTCTAAATTTCCTTTTTCGATTTTTTTTTACTTTTAGAACTGATGCTGTTATTCAACATACCCTCAGAAACGTGTTCAAAGACTGTACTGTATTGACAGTTGCACACAGACTGCGCACTGTTATAGACAGTGAATTGTTGGTGGTTATGGAAGGCGGTGAAGTCGTGGAATCTGACCATCCACATATCCTTCTAAATCCAAACCTGGCTAAAGCAGACAAAAGAGACTATGAACTTGGCATAAAGAATCTCCCAACTTCTAAGGATATTCAAATAAGTTCTAATGGCTTTCTGGCAAATTTGGTTAAGCAATGCGGACCAACGGAATCCTTAAACTTGGTTCAAATTGCACGAAAAGCATATATTGAATTGTTAAACCGTAAAAATGATTAATCATCCAGTTGATTAAGATGTTTATTACTTGTATTAGATCAGATACTAATGATGCTCATCAAGCGATATAACTCATTATCAGATTTAAATGTCTTATAGGCGATTTTATTTCATGTGGTGTAAAACAAAATGCATAATTCCTGTAAATCCATTTGATAATTTCTATACGATTTTGTTTTCAGAATATAAATTCTTATGTCTAAATTTAATATTAATTAATCTAGTGGAAACCACACATTTTATCTTTTCAATCTATGCAAGAATCAGTAGTAAGCTTTTGTCAACATTTACTGAAATATCTATTAGTGTTGTCCAGTGATGATGTGATCATGGCCCCGTAAAGTTGCAGCAAACTTCGTTACACAGTCATATGCACCAATGCTGAGTTTATGTGATATAACTGACATTAAAGTTTTGTTTTTTAACGATAAACGAAGTGATAAAAACGTTGATATTTTTATGTACAGCATTTTTGCATTCACCTGCATCAGTACCTCGGAGATATTCCTTTTTAGATGATCTCCAGGTCTGATTACCGGTTATTTTAGGCTACATTTTGTCTTTTGTATATCCTAATTAATCGATACTTTCTTGCACTAACAATGGCTTTTATCATATAAGTTGGAACATTTCTCCTGGTTTCCAAAGGATTGATTCACTGTGTTATATCTTACTTATCGATTTACAGCACACGTTCACCTTGCTGACTAATTGTTCCCAAAATCACCCGGTGAAACCACTGTCATTTGGGATAACTTCTGAACTCCAGACACAATAAATTAGGCGAGCGAATAAATCTGTGTAATCTGTTCATACGCAATAGATTTAATTTTGTTTTCGAAGACTACAGGTGCAACAACAATCTTCCTACGTTGTTTTAGCGTTAAAGAATTCACAGACTTTGATTAAAATGAATTAATGATAGTTTTGAATCTGTTTGTACATTTCTACCTATTCCAAACAAGAATAGACTTATGGACTAACTGACTGGTTTCAACGTAGAACTTTGCACAGATGTACAGCAGTTCAAGTTGCCACACTCCATGTAGTGACTCAATGGTAGACATGTTCACCTTACGACCTAAAAGTTAGGCTCAATCATTAGTGGAATCGTGCTTGAGCAATGCGAAGAAATTCGAAGACTAGAAAGAAAGAAAAAACTTACTATTTCATACATATTTTGTCAAATTAGCAATTAGTAAGAACTGATTAATCACAGAAATTTCAATAAGAAAAAAAATGTTAGCATGGTTTTAACATAAGTACCGTTCCATAATTTGTTTAACGGGATAGAATTCTTTTGGTATAATCTAAACTACTTAAATTCGAGAACGTGCCAGTGTAAGTAACGTGACTAACTTAATTAACTACCCACAAACTTACCGTATAGAATCTTAATGACTCAGAAATGATTAACAATAAGCGTAGTTGTGGATTGTGGAGACTATCGAAGGTGAGATTAAGATTCACTGGCTTTTCACGCAATGTTTGACAAGTGTTTTGAGTCATATGTAGTAAACCAAGTTTCATTGAATGCAGTTTGATAGATATCATTGTTGCAATAGCCATTGTAGAGCAGATACTCTCCTATAATGGATATACTCCTATGCTTATCTAAATTTATTCAGACTGTATTGTCAAAATGTTATTTTCTCGTCTTGTTATACGGCTTTTTAGATTTGTTAACATTATACTTTGCATGTATCTTTACATTCTCCAACTGTTGGCGCTTGGGTAAATGGCTTCTTCTTCTTTATTCCTTTGCGTTCCCAGTAGAACATAGGGCTTCAAGCTAGAGCTTTGAAGTTTCGGTAGCAGTGATGTTTATTTTTTATGGGGTGGGATTACTCTTTTTCACGCCCAACCTTCCCTCTTTGCCAGGCTGATTACCAGTAAAGTAAGGTTTGTGAGTGCGTCGGCCGGGGATCGAACCCCGGATCACCTGAGTGGCTGGCGAGCATTCTACCTCTGTGCCACCGACGCACACAGGTAAACGGCTTATTATTGATTTATACCAACCAGTCATATATGAAAAGCGTAAGGTTGTTTAATAATGAACACCTGTTTGCTTATTATTTTTCATTATGAAAGAAAAATGGAATTTATTGTCTAACTATCACTCTCAGAAATGTTTCACTTATTCAACTCATTGGCCAATCACCTTTCAGATAAGTGCTTTTGTGTAGATTTAGCCCAATGTAAATACAGATTAAATGCCAATATCAGTGAGGCACACATATATTTTGTCTTTAGTATTGTCATTTTATCAGTATACAGAGTGTTCTGTTTGGATTATTCAGAATACATCAAGCATAACATATAATAAAATTATGCCGAAAGATTTTGATGCCAAATGGAAGGAAGAAGAAATATTTTTAAACAGAATATTTATTTTGAGACAATGAAATATTTTGTAAATCTTAAAAAAAAGTGACGTTTGACTATCGCATTTTACCGGCATCTGATGTTGTTGTTGTCGTAGATGATGGTGACAATGGTGCTGTTTCTGGATTTCTTGATTCCTACAATCAAATGTAAAACAAAAAGAAGAAATTTTTAAAAATGAACATCTTTAGAAATCTGAATGTTTTTTAGCTATTTTAAATTTTATTTTGAGGAAAGGTGATTGATTTAACTTTTGATCAGAAATTAATTTTATTCACTGATTCGATGTAAACTAGGGGGTAGTGGATAGTCATTTCGTGCTTTTTCGAGACTCTTCATCAGTATGCATCTGTAACTTCACTGGGGATCGAACGCAGGGGTTTTTTAGATAATTAACGGGATTCGAGTAACAGAATGGATAGCACAATACAACCTATTAGGACTCCATTTAGTTATATTAAAGTGTAATTTATATAAATGTTTGTCAAGATTCCATTTGACAGCATCACAGAAATTGAGAAAGCAGTGAAACTTTGTATTTATATATGCATGAATATCTGATGCTTCGTTTTGACATAGCCTGAATATTTCCAAGAAAATGATTAAACATAAAGTTTTCAAGTATTGATTTTTTAGAGATTGTGTTTGATTGCATAGAGGATTTCATCATGAGCTGACATCAGTTAGAGGACCACTGGAAAACCTGGAAGTACTGGACAACTGTCTCGTCAACCTAGTTTAGGACTCTTCATCAGTACGCACTCACCGGGCTTCAAACCCAGGACCTGGTTACAAGGCGAGCTCGTTGACCATTGAGCCACTGGGACCCGATCCAACAGTTCTTGAATTCTAACTTCTGCCAATTCACGACATTGCCTTGTAACCAGAAGGTCCTACGTTCGAACTCCGGTGGGTGCGTACTGTTGAAGAGTCCCAAACTAGGACGAAACAGCCGTCCAGTACTCTCAGGTTTTCCAGTAGTTCTGTAACTGATGTCAGCTCATGATGAAATCTTCCATGCAATTAAACTTAAAGTGTTAAAGTTATATAACAATGAGAACAGAGGTCACATATTATATCAATTCTTATTTTTCAACGACCTCTTGTTGATTTTTCTCTGTCATGTGTAAGTAATATGATATTTGATTGTTTGCAAGATGATTCTCCACCATAATACAGGGTTAATATAGAGCTGATTATTTCAAAAAGAAATGTAGGAGAAAGATATGACAAATTCTTAAGTGTCATGAAATAAAATCATAGTTCTGTGCAACATACACGAAAGTATAATGGTAGGAATTTGGTACAACAGTACGGTTTTGTTTGTGTAATAGAAACTTCTAGGTAGGTAAATATATATGTATATATATACATATACATACTGTTAAAAGAACACAGATGATAGTCTCATAAATCTTAGAGGACTGGAAAAGTTTAGAAAACAATCCAGAGGCTTCACAACAGCAGATAGAAATGTGTCTTAAAATCAAGTCTTTTGATTGGATGAAGCCCGTGTAAAACGGATTTACTTTAAATGGAGAGAGATTGACTGAAGAAGCCTTACACATTTAGATGACTGTAAATAGATTGAATAGAGGGGACATCATGATATTAGCTTGCCAAGTGCTAGTCACTATCTCTATCATTGATGTTGAGGCTAAGAACTTTTAATAAATAGTTGAAGTACTACCAAAGATTATACAATTATAAACCATATTAATGTTGTTTTTTTCAGATATATGACGTAAATTCCTCATTCACATTTTTCTTAAAATAAAACACATCAACTTTTAAAACAAATTACATACAACTATGACCTTTGGTCTGTCTTATTCAATAAAGGATGATGTGAAATAAAATTCACATTATTCACAATGAGCATAGAAAGAGTGAGAATTATGTTTTAAGCATCAATAGATAAGGATGTGACAATTCTTTTAATCACTTCTTTTGACTTTTTAAACTTTATTCAATTTTGTGAAAAAAACTTTGGACTAGTGTGCAGAAACAAATATTGGACTCGCTTGTTTAATTTTCTCTCAGATTTTAAGGTATACATCTTTCATAGGGTGATGAGTAGTTCACTGAACTAAATAGTAAAGACTGGCTAAGTACATATACACTTCTTTATTGATATATATATATATGTATATAAATATGTTGAATATTCCCATAGTAAAAGACATCCAGAAAATGCAGTAATATCGGTAATACATATCAAACTCATTGATATGTATTACCGATATGTAGATGGTACATTTATCTTAGCTGGTGGGAATGTTAATATAGATGAATTGTTGTAGAAATTCAACAACATCCACCCTTCACTTACGTTTACTTGTGAAGAGGAGCAAGAGAATAAACTGCATTTTCTGGATGTCTTGCTAAGTAGGAGAGAAGATGGGTCACTTTGGAGAAGCGTGTATAGAAAAAGCACTTTCACAGGACAATATACACTTCCTCAGTTACATGGGCATTAAATATAAAAGGAATGTTGTAAAATGTCTTGCGAGCAGAGCAAGAAAGACATGTACGGATGACCTCTTACAAAAGGAATTTGAATATATTCACGATTCCTTGACGGAGATGGGCTTTCCGGGTAGTTTCATAAAGAAACATATGAAAACACCAGAGAGAAAACCTGAGACTATGACTGCACCTAAAAAACCTCTGTTTATTAAGTTGCAATTTAATGGTGCCTTATCAAGTGAGATTTTATTCCAAGGACTTTCAAGGAGTATACGAAGAACATTTTACGCAGCACACCTATGTTTGTCATTCTCTAGCCGACGAATGATTGGGACGCAAACGAAGGATAAGCTTGATAGTTTTATCACGTCTCTGTGCATTTATCAATTCAACTGCACCTGCGGTGACAGTTATGTTGGGCGTACTACTAGACAGCTTAGCCAACGTGTTAGTGAAAATCTCCCATCGTGGTTTGGCAAAGGACAGACAACAGCAATCCGTAGCTCAATTTTGTCACACTTAATTGATAGTGGTCATGTTATCGAGAAAACGAGAGCCTTCAAAGCAATTCATCGTATCCCACCGAACCTTTCCAGTAGACTTCGTATTCGTTTACTGCACACAGCTGAGGCGATAGGCATTCGAACTATTAAACCTAAACTATGCATTCAAAAGAAGTTCGTACAGCCATTATCCCTCCCTTGGCCTATTAAGACATAACCAACTAATGACTTCTACACCACCCCTTGTTTATATTTTCAACCCCTTTCTTATCATCCCTTAATCTTAACACATCTTCATTATAAACTTATTTCATTTCCTTCCCTTACAATCTAACATTACTTATATTTGAATTTTTATTTGTAAACTTATGTATATTAGAGTTAAGCCTGATGAGATCTAATTGAAAACAATATTGTTCGCATAAATGTGTTGTTCTATATATATATATATATATATATATAAGAGAAATTATAGGATGGTCAGTGATTTCAAGCCATGCTACATTTTGACACTGAAATTATGTTGCTGTTTATAGATCTCAGAGTTAATTTGGACGCATTATTTGAAGCAAATCTATGTTGGGTAAAACACCCAATTATAGTATTGCTAATTCACTTCATTTCAAATTGGTAGTATCTACCTGAAGAGTTATTTCTTCGCAGAATCAAATAAAGTATTGATCAAGTAGCCAAGATGGTTTATGACGATCCATCCCTAAAGAAATCTCCACACTTTCCATGTAAGCATGATTCAAACCAACTATTATAGAAAAAATGATGAGGTAATAGCTAAGGACTATATTATTTATGTATTTGCGAATTCGGTTTACACTACTGTCACAGGGTTGAGGCTGAATAAGAAGATTTCATCAAGTTAGGCATCTAACTGAGTATGATCCACCGAATTCACTTTCATAGACTGAAGGCGATAACCGAAATGAACACAAAAATATATTTAATAACATGGTATTTCTTTTCTGACTGATATATACTTTCAAAAGTTCAGGCTTTGACTTAATCAGAATTGCATGGAGTATTTCATCATGAGCTGACATCAGTTAGAGAACCACTGGAAAAACCTGCAGGGAGTGCTGGACAGCTGGTTCGTCCTAGTTTGGGACCCTTCATCAGTACGCACCTAGAACCTTATGGATACAAGGCGAGCTCGTAGACCATTGGGCCACTGGGACCCGATCCAATGGACGAACCAGCTGTTCAGTACTCCCAGGCTTTCCAGTGGTTCTCTAAGTGATGTCAGCTCATGATGAAATCCTCCATGCAATTAAACAAAATCCCTACAAAACCAATACTTGAAATTTAATCAGAATTGTATTAATATATTGCATAGAATGATAATAGAAGTAGTATAAGATGCTTTATTTTACAGGCTAAGACGTGTTCTTTATTGAATGATGTTTTGAAATAATCTATATATACGGAACTGGATAGTATAGTAAATAACTAAGTTTAATTCATCTGGTAGTAATATGAAGTTAGATCACATCTACATATTATTATTATTTTACGTGATACTTCCTGAGATTTCGGTGGTTATTGAATATTCAGTATTATTTTGTGTAAAAGACACAAGTGAAGAAAATGTCTAATGTTGATAGAATATTACTCAGAATTTGAAGTTAATCAATGAGTGAAAAGTTCATTAGACCTAATATAGATTAATGCGTAAAATTCATAATTAACAGTCCACTGAAAATATAAAAAAATAATGAACTCATCGTATCAACAAGATATCAGGTCAATAATAAGTGACATTAGGAAGATTTATAAATTTTCTGTAAGAAATGGAACAAAAAGATGGTAATTCTGTTCTGCAGAATTATGACTATCGAAATTAGAGCATATTACAAATTACTATAAGGCATTAAGAAGACAAATTTCGCTATTTGATATCATTTCGTAGTTTCTTTACAACCGCTTTACAATTAACATGGTTAACAATAATAAAATAAAGATCATGATAATTACTCAGTTAAATAAAAAACACAAAAGTACATACTAATGACCATCATATTTAGATAGGTCATGTTGTCCATGGTAGGCGAAGATTGAAGTCTATTGCTTTTGTACACACAGTTTAGGCTGTATGTGATTAATCCAAAGTGCTTCCCTCTCCTTTCATAACCTTGAATTAGAGTTATGTGAAGTAATTGTGAAACAGTCATTAAAGGACGAAATTCTTTGGACTCTACTTCTAACTGTATCTACAAGTTCACCTGCAACTGCGGTGACACCTATATAGGTAGAACCAACAGAATGTTCCAATGTCGTCGAAAAGAATATGTTCCAAAATGGCTACTAAATCATATAGAAAATCCCAACGCGATTAATCTGAATAGAAATCCAGCATCATCATGCATTGCAAAACACTTATTAATGTCAGGTCACAAAATCAATATTAGTGACTGTTTCACAATTTCTTCACATAACTCTAATTCAGGGTTGGTTATTGAAGGTGATGGGAGCACTTTGGATTAATCACATACAGCCTAAACTGTGTGTAGAAAGAAACAATAGACTTCAATCTTCGCCTACCATGGACCATGGACCAACATGACCTATCTAAATATGATGGTCATTAGTGTGTACTTTTGTTTTTTATTTAACTGAGTAACTGTCATGATCTTTATTTTATTTTATTATTGTTAACCATGTTAGTTGTAAAGAAACAACGAGATGATATGATCTCGCGAAATTTGTCTTCTTAATGCCTTATTCAAATTTATCAAAGGGACTAATTATTTAATTAGTAATGTACTAAAAATTGCAATACATTTTACTAATTTTAGATAATATTTGAGTTTTTAAATAAATCGAAGAAATTTGTAGCCTAGGTAGATGTTTTTCGGGCATTGTGTTCTATAAGATGCATGATTTATTTGAAAAGTTTTCATTGTCTGTCTAGAAAACAGACTTCAGCAGTACGTGTATCCAAAGACAACAAAAATGCTTTGGAATCAATCCATTCAGCACAGAGAATGCATCAACATTGAAAGATTAATGATTTAGTTATGGTTATTCTGTGGTTTTGCGTCATATAATTTAAGTGTGAAAGACTGTCTATGCGTGTGTGTGTGCAGCATAACATTTTAGCTTTGAAATAACTAAAGACTGCTTAACACCCACATGATGGCTAGTCAAATATACATGAACTTAATTAGTCGTCCACATGATTACATCCATCTTTTTACAATAATTACATCACATATTATTCAAAATTGATCAACTGGCACTCATACCATTTGTTGTACTAAGTTAGAAGCTAGTTTTAATAGCTTTTATGATAGTCATAAGTGGATTGAGCTGAAACTCAATTTAGCGGGATGTTTTGATTGCTCATGAATAACTGACAGTAAGAAATTGAGAATAAATGAAAGATAGTACTAGTGACTAGACATTTAACTAAATAAGGAAAGATTTTGGTTGGTAAGAATATCAGAAAACATGGTGTCGCTAATTCATTGTTTTTGAAAAGAAGGTGATTCAATGTCATTCAATTTATGAATGACTGTTATAGTTTGAATAAAAGACTAGTTAAATGTGTTTACAACTGATCAGCATAATTTAAATAAAGTCATCTTATTAAGAAAAAGGAATATAATATCCTCAGTATGTACATTAGTAATGAGAACCGAAAAATCACTGGATACTTGCTTTTAGAAAAGTTGATATTGCTCAGAGGTTACAAGGTTTAACTAAAAGTTAAAATGTTAAGACGTTAGCCAATGTTCTATTTTATAAATGTCTCTGCTTCTTTAGAAATTACAGTTCACACAGAGGAATATAAGCGTTAACCATTGAAGAACCATTTTAGTAAACAACACCAGACACGGTAAAAATTAAGTGAACTGTGAGTCTGACGGGAATGAATGGTGTTCCGACACGTTTTTCCCTAATTAGAACAATGTGCAGTAATCAACTTACACTATCTGAGTCCCAAAATTTAGAAATAATGTTTAACTAAGCTAAAAAAGAAGTATTTCTGAAGTATCTACAAATTAATAAACATTGAGCCAATACATAATACTATATAAGATATCCCAACTCAACAGTATGCACATCCGTTTCTTTCTTCATTGCATTACGTCTTGCTTTAACAAAGATCATAACAAAAAAGCGGTACTTTAAAAAAAGCACTTATCTAGAAACAGTTTAATAATAATCAAGCAATATATTCTAATGACTGAATAGCATTACCAAGCTAACATCCAAAAGAGCCTGCTTTGCCAAAAATCGTTCCCGTTGAATACGTTCTCTCAGACTACCTGGTACATCTGGGATAAAGAAATCCAATACGTCGGCCAAAACGAATGCCACATGCTTGGAAAACAAATAAAAAGTATCACAGGTGGTTAAAACTGGATAACTTAACGACTGTAAATATGAACATGATTATGGAGTCACATATGATTTCCTCATGTCCCGTTATTAAGTCTCTGTATATCGACTTAAAAGATTAATTTTACTATCATATCACAACCTCAGTAACATTTTTGTGATAATCTCGGAGGAAAGTGTACTTCATTACTGACATTTCTCTCTTGTCTATATCCTGACTGTAATTATTCCTTAGCTAGTTAAAGAAATTGGAAATTTTGTAAGGTATTAGGTAGTGGATAGTCTGTATGACTTATTACTTTATGTGTGAGACGATGAAGTACTGTGTAAGGCGCTAAACTTCAATTTTATAAAGTTAAATGACTTGAAATCAGTTCACAAAATAACTCTAGCCTATAGCTTGCACTAGTAAATAGTATTTTTCACAAGGGGAAGATGTTTAGAAGTAATAATTTGTCAAAAGTGACAATCTAGTCAATTAAAAGTTGTATTTTATTGCATAAATTAATTTCTGACACTCTGTCGATGAATAATTTCATCTTTTCTTTTTTTCTTTTCCAAACTTTCTTTGCGAAAATTTACTTCTCTTTTGCACCTTCCAGAGTAATGACAGTTTTTTCAGTTTAATATAACTCACTGAAATTTTCAAAACCAATAAATCACACTACTTCTTCCCAACAAGTAAAAGCAAATTAGTCATTATATAAAACATGATATATAATTAGTCATAATAATGTATAATTTATCGAATTTACTCAGCATATAAGAGCTTAAATTGAATAATATCTGTTTTCCTGTTTACCTCGAAAACAATCACAAATGCTAAGCGTAATGCCAACAGTCTCCAGAAAAACATTGTATACTGGCCATTGCTATCTCGATAAGCCTTATATCTGAAATAGAATAAGAAGCAGGTTTTAATTAACTGGCGAATTGACTACATCTGTGAATAAAGAGGACTCTATCTATATACACATGTCACATGTTGAGAAAACATCTGGAGACTTGATTATAATAAAGGTTTTTGTATTTCCCAATGAATGAAAAACAAAATGATATTGTTTTTACTGACGTTTCGCTATTTAATGATAATAGCTTTATCAAAGTAGTATTAAACTGGAATTTACAAAATCTCAGCATATATATAACAAAGAGTTAAGGGGTGAGAAAATAGACTTAGGTCAAGTTAAAAGGACATATTGAAAGTCAAAATAACAATGAAGATCATATGAACTGTGATCAAGATTTGACCGTCTGTTATGATATCAAAACAAAGTTTACTAACTTGATCATCGTTCGTCAGTCTGGGGTCATTTTTTGTTGTCAAGTTGATCAACTGATAAAGATAACAAAACCAAGTGTAAATTGTTGGATTTGACAAGTGTGTAAAATTATAAAAGCAGTGTGTGTTTGCATAGAGAAATTGCATAACACATTCGTGCTGAGATTTTGTAAATTCCGGTTTAATAATACTTTGATAAAGCTATTAGCAGCATTACATAGCGAAACGTCAGTAAAAACAATATCGTCTTGTTTTTCATTCATTGGGAAATACAAAACCTTTATTATAATGATTATCATATACCCAATGCCCAAATTTTTTGAAACTGTTAAAACTGAACTTGGTTTGGACATATATAGCTGGAGACTTAATTGAAAAAAGTTTATTTTAATGGAATGCATTCAGAATATATGTGTGTAGAGGATAAGATTGAAGAAGAAATGCAAAATCTTATCAACAAATTACTACAGAGGCGTCAAACAAAGTGTTTCCCCCAATCCATCTAGTTCTCAAAAAGGATGTTAGTAAACTTTTTGTGAGTACAAGGGTGATCCCTAAAGTCCTGCTACTAAATAAGGCAGCACAGCAAAATTCAATAAAACTTCCTATACAGCTAAACCTATTTGAATAGTTTGAACAGAGAAAGAACGAATATGTTTGCAGGATAATGCGAGTTTGTTTTACATCTGAAAAACGAAAATTATCTTATTCTGTTAACCTTCCCAGCATCCGAACCGTAATGTCACATCCTACTGTGTTTAAGAATTTAAATGTATATGTGGTTACCAATGCATAGGGAAAACTCATCGGTCAGGGCTACATAACACATTCCTAAGAGGCTGTAAGAACAAAGAAAACTGCCTGGTTCAGTTAACCTTGGAAACAGATGCCTAACATCATCAACCCAAAAGAACACTATACAAACGGTTCATAAATTTCATTTCAATAGTATCTTTAAACCTATATGTGAAACAGGTTTGAGTTATGCACCTAATCACCGAAAATACTCATTGAGTCATAAAGAAAATAAAAGACAATTCAGTGGAGAAAATTTTCTTTTCGACGAAGTCATAAACTAGACTGTACATTCTTGAATTTATATTAACTGTGTGAGAAAGTTCCAGAATTATTTCTGGTGAAAATTCAAATTAAAAATACAATGTGTAATAATCTTGAAGGTCGGGTAGGAAGGACAATAAGTTATAATTACTCAGAAGTGAAAATAAAAGTTGTAAATCATGTAGTACTCTACGGCAAGAAGGAAGAAAGGGTTAGGAATTTGATAAGGTTAAAGGTAGTTGAGTGTCAATTTAAAAAGTGTGAAAATGTACAAAAGGATCATATGAGGGAGATAATAGTGAATTAATTATTAAATAAAACTAAAAAGTGAAATTGAAAATTATTAAAAATTAAAATTAATAAATTTTTTTTCTACATGGAACGATCAGTGAAGAGGTTAAGACCATAGTATAATAAGAGACTGGACAAACTTTTTTTGTAAACAGAGATCGGGGTTGTACTGGCGAATTGCCGGCGCCTCTGCCATACACAAAAGCCGAAACCTAACGCCCTTTTTCCCATTTGCCCTCACCTGGTAGATGATCTTGAAAGATGACTCCGGGAATAATTCTGGAACTTTCTCACACATTTAATACACATACACGAATATACAGCCTAGTTGATAACTTCGTCGAAAAGGAAATTTTCTTCGCTGAATTGTCTTTTATGCACCTAAACTTATTGAAGTTTTAGCCATAAAAGAAAAGCTTAAACCTGTTTTCTGTGCTCAAAAATTATTCATTATCATATAGAACGTGTCTTGATAATCCAAATTTAAAACCAAGGTTTATTTTGTTTAATCATATTTTCACCCCTTTTTCTAAACTCATTTTCCTATCTCATATCTGTGGTCGTACCCTGTAAAAATGTTGACCCTTTATACTCTGTCGCCTTTTATGAAAATATACACGACAAATATGAGTGTGACTAGAATGTCCGAATTGAAATGCACAAAGTACAATACACACTTGAGATTAATTACATCTTCCCATTGTTTAGTTGAAATTCATCAAAAGGAATTAAATGCTCAAAAATTCTGAAGAGAAGATAAAATTGATGAAAAGCCTAACGAATAATCTCTAAATAAAATGGTCTATCATGGCATCAGTCAGCAAAGAAGTATTTAGTTTCTCTAGACAGAAAAAAGTAATGAATATAACATCAATATGATTACGTTTCATCTTAGGCTAAAAAACACAAAAAGACTGGGCAAAGAATGCTTTTCTCGATAACATCCTTATCTAACTCTACAGTTATGTATATGCACATAACATTTGAAGAGTTATTATTGTCAACAACATCAATATTCTTGTCTAAACAATATGGCGTTTTGAAAATCAATATATTTATATTTCGAAAGCATATTTAAGTGATGTGATGGTTTAAAAATAAAATCCTTAACTGGATATTAAATAAAAAACTAAGGAGAAAATGTACGCAACGATTAAATATATATTAAAACAATAATGGCTTTTGTAAGGCTTAAGAGGAATGACCAAAGTAACTGACGAATTTCTACGAACTTCTTCTCAACAAACACATCCAAATATCCGAGTGACTTCCGAACTAGAATCGAATAAAAAACTCGGTTTCCTGGATATTACTATGACTAGGAGAGATGATGGAACGATTCAACGATCTATTTTTCGTAAACAGACATATAATATCTTCATTTTACCAGTTTTGTTCCTATCGAGTATAAACGTTCCCTAGTGAAATGTTTGTTCTCAAGAGCCCGAAAAATATGCACGAGTGACACATTGATGGATGAGTTTCAAAATATACATTCAGTTTTATTAGCTAATGGTTTTCCGGAGAACTTTATCACTTGTCACAGTAAAGAAAAACCACATCTCGAAAAGACAGCTTCTGTACCAAAGAAAGCTATCTTTATTAACCTACACATTCAAGGGCTACCAGATTATGCAGTTGACAGCTCAAAGACTTTGTTTGGTCAGCCATCAAACGCACATTCTACACCGCATCTCCTTTTCTCATTTGCCGAACATTTTCGATCCCTGTACCTACCATTGAAGGACGAAATTCTATGGACTCTACTTCAAACTGTATCTACAAGTTCATCTGCAGCTGCTGTGACACCTATATAGGTAGAACCAATAGAATGTTCCAATGTCGTCGAGAAGAACATGTTCCAAAATGACTACTAAATCATATAGAAAATCCCAATGTGAGTAATCTGAATAGAAATCCAGAATCATCCATTGCAAAACACTTATCAATGTCAGGTCACAAAATCAATATTAATGACTGTTTTACAATTATTTCACATAACTCTAATTCAAGGTTATTGAAGGTGATGGAAGCACTTTGGATTAGTCACATACAGCCTAAACTGTGTGTACAAAAACAATAGACTTCAATCTTCGCCTACCATGGACAACATGACCTATCTAAATATGATTGGTCATTAGTATGTACTTTTGTTTTTTATTTAACTGAGTAATTGTCATGATCTTTATTTTATTTTATTATTGTTAACCATGTTAGTTGTAAAGCGGTTGTAAAGGAACTACGAAATGATGCTATCATCTCGTGAAATTTGTCTTCTTAATGCCTTATTCAAATACATTCACTTGATGTCAGTAAAAAAGTTAGAGCATTGTGGAATAGATCAATTGAAGTATAATTATATTTCAATAGTGTACAAACAATGATAAGTTTTGTTATTGGTAATATTTCTCAATTCACTTAGTTATGATTTGTACTCATATGTACAGTTCATTTTTTGTTCATTCATTTTTGTGTATTCAGAATTATATTCCAGGTTGTTGACAGTTGTCTAGAGTCACCCTTGTTACACATGTATCCGGTGTGACCTTAATGAATATCGATTCTGTTATAAGTCTCTCTTTCCATTTGTTCATATTAGTTTTTAGAATACAAACATTGTTCCAATCGATATTGTGGTTTTTGTCCCAAGTATGTGCAGCTGTAGATGAATTTTTTTCTAAATTCTTGTAAGCTTGTGTTCCTGTTGATTGACCTTTAGTTAGGCGTTTATGTTCATTCACTGTTATTTTGAGTGATCTGGACGTTTAGCCCACATATTTAGTCGGACACTCGGCACAAGATATTTTGTAAATCCTCTTTTTACCGTGAGTGGATGAGCTGAGTGATAATCAAGGAATCTTCCAGAGTATGTAGTTTTTCTATATAGCATCGCTTTTATGCTACCATCTGTTACTTTTTGTATTTTGCAGTCTAACGTAGGCAGTTCCCCAATTTCATTCTCTATTTTCATAGTGAATTTTATTGAGTCGACATGACTCTTTATGTGAGAGAAGAATTTCTCAAAATTGTTTTTTCATTATTACTAACGTGTCGTCTACATATCTCCACCCACATTTTATTGATGACCTGAATGATTTAATTACATTCTCTTCCTAAAAATCCATAAATATATAAGCTATTATTGGTGAGATGGGAGATCCCATAGCTACTCCTTCATTTTGTTGGTATATTTTTCCTTCAAATGTAAAATATGTTGTTGTCAGACAGAATTCCACCCCTTTTATTATTTCTTCTACGGAT